TTCGAGATCTCCAGTCCAGGGTCAACCGGGAAGAAATTAATCATGAGACCCAGATGAGAGAGACAAACCTCTCCACTAAGATCTCTATACTGGACCCTGAGACAGGGAAGGATATGTCCCCTTATGAGGCCTACAAGAAAGGTATCATAGACAGGGGCCAGTACATCCAGCTGCAAGAGCTGGAGTGTGACTGGGAGGAAGTCACCACGCTGGGCCCGAACGGGGAAGTCTCGGTTCTCCTCGACAAGAAAAGTGGGAAGCAGTATTCCATCGACGATGCACTAAGGCTGAGAAGGATCACAAAGGAGGAGTACCAGCTATACCGGGACGGCAAGATTCCCATCTCCGAATTTGCCTTGCTGGTAGCTGGGGAATCCAAGCCTCCCTCATCACTCTCTATTGGCTCCATCATCTCCAAATCCCCACTCCCATCACCCACTACCCACCAAACCCAAAGCTTCTTCCCCTCTGCTTCTCAGAAGGGCTTCTCTGACGACAAATCTCCCATCGCTGGGGTGTATGATACCACCACAGACACCAAGTACAACATCAAGACTGCCGTTGCTAAGAAGCTACTTGATCCCATGACAGCTCAGAAGCTCCTGGAAGCCCAGGCTGCCACAGGGGGCATCATAGACCTTATCTCTCGTGACCGGTTCTCAGTCCACAAGGCGACTGAGAGGGGGCTGATTGACAGGACCTACATGCAGAGACTGCTCAATGCCCAGAAAGCTTTCACAGGGATTGAAGACCCTGTAACCAAGAGGAGGCTGTCCGTGGGGGAAGCAGTTCAGAAGGGATGGATGACCAAGGACAGCGCTTTCCCCTATTTGGAGGTCCAGCATCTAACGGGAGGGCTCATCGATCCCAAGAAAACGGGTCGCATCCCCGTGCTAGAAGCTGCCCAGACGGGGATGATAACAGGTGACCTTGCCAACAGGCTCCAGGATGAGTCCAACTATGAAAAAGATCTCGTTGACCCCATCACTAAGGAGAAGATAAATTACAAGGAAGCCATGGCTCTCTGCCAGAAAGATTCACTGAGCAGCCTCCTGCTGCTCCCAGCCACATCGGAGGGCTATCAGCTTTACCATCAAGTGAGCCATTCCCCCAAGCTCTCACGGTTCAGACAATGAATGGATTCAGGCACATACAGGATCAGATTCCATCAGTAGTTCATCCCTTCGACACATCTTCCCCCACAGAGACAGGACTGATCACTAAGGAATGGAGCATCTAGTGCTTAGGGTTGCATGTTCTTCTGTCTTAGCTATCCCTGCTTCCTAACACAGCTTGGCCGTGCAAGGAAGAAAGAGTGATCATGAGCGCGAGGTCTGAGCACACAGTAGCCTCCATGATCCCCCAAGTGCCTCTGTGCCAGCAAAGGGGGTTTATTTGCAAGAACTTCACTTGCAGTAGGTTAAACACGGTTATGCCCAGAGTGGGGGGAGAGCCAGAGCGTTTTCAAGTTGGGTCATTCTTCTGCACACAATAAACATAGACAATGTGTCTCTATGGCTGTATTCTTTCTGAAACCTGAAGCTGCCTGAGGGGGACTAACGATACCTTCTGCTGCCACCCAATCTGCAGAGGGGATGTGAACTCTTAACTCCCCTGATCTCACTGCACTGAACCCCCTGAATTTCCTTCTGCATTTGAGTCTGTAACTTTCAAGATTTTTTTTTTATCTTTGTCCTTACAACTGAGAACCAATGGGACTTCACTCCTCTGTCCATTGGGACACCTCTGACAGAGGGACTTGATCACAAAAGGGTGTAGTTTCATGTTACTTTTGATCCAATCTAGATGTGGGCAACTAGTGAACGGAGCAGTCCCTGTATCCCCCTCTGATTGCCTGTCCCTGGTGCCTCTCTGGCTGTAGATCAGTGATGGTGTGGCTGTATAATGACTTGGGTCACTTCACTGCTGGAAGATGAAGCCAAACCCCAAGCACCACCAAACCACCCCCACTGGAGTAGAGGGTTTTGAGGCTTGTCCTGCATCCACGCAAAAGCAAATCTGTTGCAACGGAAGGGGTGATCTTCAAGAGCAGGCTGCTGCTGCCTGCAATCCAGTGTGATGTGAAACCGCTCTCTACAGCCCTTGGCTGTGTGGTCCATCTAGCAGCACCTGAAAAATCTATACCTGCTGAGCTTTCACGCCTGTGTACCACTTTCAGTGCTCAGCCCTTGCTGAAGTGAGAAGGTCCTCTCTGCCACGTGTCCCTGTTCAGATAAGAGATGACATGTTCTTCCCTTGTCTCTGCCCCGCTCTGGAGAGTCCCCTGGCTTTGTGGGATGACAAAAATGACTTTCTATTAAGACGAGCTCCTCTGCTAAGGGCTCTGGCCCTGTTCTCCAAAGTGTCGATGTTTATTCGCATCCTGAGGCTGCTCTCTACGGCCTATCTCAGCCACTACGATCAATACAGGGGCAATATTTGTTGGTTTACAACAGGCAAAACTGTCACATGCACATTAGAGCATCTGGTCCTATCCCCTCTCCTCCTGGTCGAGCACTGTCAGCACACAGGGCACTGCACATTGCCTCCCGGCTCATCTGGGCTGGAGCTGGGCTGTGATGGACAAGAGGATGCAGGAGGGAAATGCCTGGCCTTGCCTCCCATCAGGGCTGAGGCCAGGTAAGGATCACATCTCACCATAGCCAGGGATAGTCCCCCAACTGGTACAAACAGCAGACCAGCCACACACCCCACCATCTCTGGTGGGGGAGAGCCTGGCCTTTATAGCCCTGCAGTTCCCAGCAGGCCTCAGGTCAGCCAACGAACCCCCCTTTAAAGCTGTGGGGAGCAGCCTTGCTCTGCTTTGGCTTTGCTCCCTGGAGCCAACTGAGAGCAGCAGGAGTCCATCAGAAAGAGGGCTGTCACCCTTTCTGCAGCTCAGCTCAGCTCTGCAGGACGTGTGAGTTTGCTGCCAGCCTCTCTCTCCCTGGGCTCCGTGGGGCAGGGCTGCTGGGCTGCAGGAACCCCTTGCTAACAAGGTAAACCTGTGCTCATTTTTAAAGCAGTACAATGGTCACATGGTGACTCTTTTCCTGAAGTGCTGATTAAATAGGTTTGGGGAATGCTGTGAAACTGAGGGACTGGGAGTTCTGGTAGTTAGGCAGGCAGTCAATCATTTTGGGTAATCTGCTCTCTGAGTGCATGACAGCAATAATAGGTATTTACCCAGGGCTGGGTGAAGACGTTCAGAAACAATTAGCTGGCTGAGCGGTCTCCCCTGGAGGGCCGGTCTGCCTCTCATTTCTGACAAAAACAAAAATCCTTTTCTTTGCTCTCAGGTGCTTGTAACCTGCAGTAAACAGGGCACATCCCAGGGAACAGGGCTTTCCTGGGGCAAAACTGTTTGGCAGGGTTGTGAGCTGCCTGGGAAGAGCCAGGTAGCGCTTTGCCTTCCTTCTCAGGCATGGGATGGTGGGGTGGGTTGTGACTTTCCCAGGGCTGTTATTTAAACGCAGCTGTTGTTGGCTCCCTTTGCTGAGAGTGGTGTTGGATCATAAATGTTTGAAATTTGGCCTGTTGCTTCATTTTGTTGGGCTAGGAGAGCCATAGTATTTTTATTTCTGTTTCTGGACTGGGTGAATGCCCTTGGTACTTATTTCTTAATGCATCTCTCTTAAAAAAAAAAAAAAAACTTCTCTGCAGGCACTTTGACCAGTATGACATGAGCATTTGTTCATAGGGAGCAAACAATGGAGCATTGTCTGTACAAAATAAATTGGCTTTAAAACATGCATGCAAAGGCAGGGAAATGGTTCTAGTAGCAGAATTCACCCATGTCTCACAAATGTGCCCCTGCGAGCTGGCTGTTACCGCACAGAGGACATGAGATGTTGCTAGAACACAGCAGGGCTTCAATTTTCCTAGCACACAGCTTTCAAGGCTGCTGGGAGAGCCCAGCTGCCTGCTCTGCCCTGCTCAGGCAGACAAGCAGGACCCCCCCGCACCAGCAGCTCAGCTCTCTGCAGGCAGCTGCTTCGGTATGTCTCCTAACAATATTTTCAAAAGCAAAGCAAACCCCTAAAAGCCCAACTTGGGCAAATTACAGAGGATAATGAGCTTCCCAGCTCCTGGCAGCTAGGCAGCGTGACAGGGTCCAGAGGGAAGTGAGCAGCAGGTCCCTGGGCTGTCTTGCCATAGGGGTATCTGTCGGGAACTGAGGCATGCTGCAACATTGATGACAAAGGTAATTTGATGTAATGAATTAAGCAGAGACGCCTGCTGCCTTATGTCAAGTAGGGGAACAAAATATGGAGCAAGCCCAAAAGGCTAACAGAGCTTGGCTTCAGGCAGGAGGGTCATTTTGGGGGGGGGGCTGCAAGGGGGGTTTTCCGGGAAAGAACGAGAAATTCTTAACAATAAGAGAAACTCTTAACTTTCCTCTCTCCTGTGCAAATTCTCTGGTATTTAACAGGTGGGGAGGGAAGCCTGTGCTACAGCCTTTCCTAGCTGAGGTGTTTGGGGACCTCCCTCCTTTACTGCATCATTTATCTGTCATTAAGCCCTAGGAATGTGACAGCTTTTGAGAGCTGCCAGGTTCTGCGGAAATCAGCTGCTAGGTTCACAGTTACTAGGACACATGTCTGCACATGTATGAACAGCAGGAGTGCAGAAACATGACTTCCTTAAGTTAAAAATCTATCTTTGAGTGTTTAAATAAGTAGAACATAACTCTGAACTGGTTTGGGGCAATCTCTACAGAAACTATATCTTACCATACCAAGACAGCACTGGGCTGCAGAACCATCGGCCCCTTATTCCACAGCACAACAGAGAGCACAGCTCTGCAGATGCCAAGGATTTGGGCTGGAAAGGATAAAAGAAAGAGTGCAGGAGGTGATGAAGGGAGAAGAGCTCTGAGAAAGGAATGGCCCAGCCAGACTGTCTTGCATCGCTATCCGGATGCGCCAGGCCAAACAATAAACAGCAAGGTTTCTGAACAAATGACAAGCCTTTTATTTTTTTTTTCCATACCGAAAGAAAAAAGCTTGCATATGTCAAAAACTACATCAAAAGTTAGTGATAATTCTGCAAACATTTGAACAGCAAAAATACGTCCAAGCAAAGGAAATTGGGATTACATCTGGACCAGCGATGGAAACCCAGTGTTTCCACACCGGGAGTTTTCAATCGGTGCTTTAGGCTAACTGCATCTTTTGGCTTCTCAGTCCTAGCTAAGGCACAAATTAAGATTCCCTACAGTGGTCCTCAGCTTGCGAAAAAGCAGAACATCAGCTCCATTAAACAGCTCACATCAAATAACTTGTCCAATGCTGGCAAACCCCCTCCTTGTTAACAGCAACAAATAACTGAGTAGAGAAGCACTCCCGTACCCAGAGTGGAGCTCCAGCACGCCCTGGTGTCAGGAACTGCCATCGACAGATCTGCGGCAAGACCAGGAGATGCTCCAGGGCTGGAGAGAGACAAATCATTGTGTGTCACCTTAGCTCGCTGGCTAATGCAAAGGGCAAGCCTCTGAAAGTTGCTCTCTCATTTCCAGTTCAGCGTTTTATGCTGATAAATTACGCTCTAGCCCCCTCTTCGGACAGGACCTCTTCAAAACAGCTCTACTGTCCATAGCCTAGACAAACTTTCCCCCAGCAACAGGCTGAGAGTTTCTAAATACAAGAATGTCCCCCTTCAGGCTCCTCAGGAGAAGTGAGGTCCTGGGTCCCAGCCAGTCCCCTGCGAAGTGCGCCAAAACAGATCTGCACCGCTACCCTGCAGAGTAAGCGCACAGGAATATCTCTGTCTTCTCATCTGCAGTGTCTCTGCAGTGTACACCGCTCTCCAGGGTCGTGGGGGCTTCTCCAGAAGAAGTACTGGTGATTGAGGGCTGCCTTGGCTGAGATGCGCCTGCTGGGGTCATACAGTAGCAATTGCTGCCAAGAGAAAAAAACCAATGGCGTTAGTATTCTAGAGTCAGATGATGGATTGCACCAACATGTGTCTGGGCCCAGATGCAGATGTTGTTCCTTCCTCTTCCCCTCCCTGGCTTTCAGGAGTAACCCACAATGTGGGTTACACTAGAAGGATTTCCTGACCCTCCGTCTGGCACTGTCCTCGTGGAACCTGCCCTGACCACCCTGCTTGAGAGCTGGCACTGGGCCCCATTCAATGACAGTCCCAAGGCCATTTCTGCAACAGCAGAGGTGAGCCCTGGAGCCACATCAGCCCCCTCCCAGTCATTCACCTACCCACAGAAATGCACTTCTAGGGTCACAAACAGACAGGTTCCCCATCAGCCCTGCAGTTCTGTCTCAGGCCTGCCCAATTTAAATTCAGGCAGACACGCTGTGCTGCCTAAGATGGGACTGTGGTGCTGTTGCCAGGTGTGAGGCTCTGCAGAACCCCATTTCTCAATGTGATCTTGAACCCCCTCCTCTGGGGTCTTTCATATGCCATGGACAAGGCAGGCATTGTGTTAGTTTTAGAGAACAATGGTTAAAAGCACAGCCCAAAGGGGAGCTGAGATGTTGCTAAATGCACCTGTCCTGCTGTAGGCAACACTGAGAGGATTGAGGCAGTAGCTATGATGCCATACGTGTGCGGGAGTGTGGCCCAGAGAATGGGGTTCTGTATATGGTCATTCTGCTGGGGCTGGGTTATTATGGCAATGTGCCTCATCAAGGGCATTACACACATCTGGGATCTGAGCTGTGACTAGTCACCTCTGTTCTTGTATTAGTACAGACCTCTGCACCCCTGCCTCAGGCTTTTCCAGCAAGAAAACGTTGCAACAAAAAGATTAAACCAAAGAGCCCATGGCTCAAGGATCAGGAGGAACCCACAAACTCAGGCAGATCAGCTCCAAATAGCCCTGTTGTCTGCTCAGTTTGAAAAGGTCCTCCCTGCCTGCAGGTCTTGTACTGAACCCCTTGCTCACCGTCAGTAAGTCTCGGCCATCCCGATCTAAGTTGGGAACAATTTCCTTCATCTCCTTCCTTGCCCAGCGGGGAAAGTCCCCCTTGTAGTCAGGCAGTTGGGTCACCCCAGGCCAGGTCACCTCCGTGGGAGTGCCCAGGGTGCGGAAGATCCGGAAGAGCTGATCGATCTCAGAGTCCCCTGGAAATAAGGCTTTCCTGGTCACCTGAGGCAAAAAACAGCCAGTTTCCACTTTTCCATCAGCTTTGTGCTCTAGTTCCCTCTGCAAATAACCCTGTTTTCCAGCAGACGCAACAACTGCCCAATTCAGAAGGGTTACAATTCAGTGCCTCTGCCGCACAGTGGTCGGGAAAGTCACAGGTGTCCATCTGCTTCTCCCCAGCTCCCCTGTGTACCGTGCTCCCCTTAGGCCGTCTGTCTCAGCCAGTCCCTTATTGCTCTTCTCTTTGTCTCTAGTTTCCTCACACCCACTCTTGCAGGCTATCCCCCTTCCCTCTGTACTCTGCCAGGCTCTGCTGCTCTGCATCTCAGGGGCTTTGGGAGCTAGGGACACTGTTGTCATGCTGCAGAGATAAAAGGAGCTATTCAAAGTGGAGTATGGACACCTGGGAGATCAGCTTGGAGCAAGGGACTGCCATGCTATGAAGTGCCAGTTCTCTGCAGCCCACGTGGGGGCACCGGAGGCAGCAGTGGGGGGGAGACATCTGTAAGAGTCTTCAAAACATTTCAGCAAGATGGCTGAAATTACCCCTTCCGCAAGGAGAGGCATGACACTCCCACAAACCTGAAACTGCAGCTGAATTGCAGAGGCTCTTACACCTTCTGCCAAGTCCCTGCTGGTTATAGATTTCCCTCTGAGCCCACAGTTAAGGCTCAGCTAACCATCAAGGTGGTCTTTCCCATAATACACTCCCAGCTCAGGCTGGACAGCAGTGTGGCAGATGTTCTGGGTTCTGTCCCTGCTTCCATACTTTCCATTGCAGTTGCATCCTCCCCACTTATTGAAGAAACCATGTAAACCCATGTTACCATTTCTGCAAAGATGCAGCCGATGCTCCAGATATCCACAGCTGTTGAATAGTATTTGCATCCCAGCAAGATTTCAGGGGCTCGGTACCACAAGGTCACCACCTGGGAAGGAACCGACAAACAAGCTTTGTCTAGTTTTCCTGGCTGAACCTAGAGACATGAGGGCCTCTCTTCTCAGCTGAGCCCCTGGTGTCCAGCAGGCAGAGCTCTTCCTTTTCAGCCTCATTCCAAACATAAGGCACCAAATGCAGTGCCTGTACAAATCGGAGACTGCTGAGGCCATGCTCAACTAACAGACACCTTGACAACACCAATATGAGAATTAACAGACCATTCTTCAACAGGACATTCTGGAATAAATAAACCCTCTACAGAGAAGGTGGGAACCCAACAGGCAGGTGGGCTGGGGTAGAAGCAGTCAGCCCACTTTGTGAGGGCACCAGGTAACCCCTTAGCTGCAGGTTAGGTTAAGGGCATGCACCCAGGCATAGCTGTGCCTCAGCTATGTGCTGGTCACTTGTGATGCATGGATTGTGTACCCCGCTTTCAGGTGGAAAGGAGCCTCAGCAGTACCTCGTGAGTGTATGTGCGCAGGGGGACTCCAAAAGCTCTTGCCAGCCCGAAATCAGCTAGTTTGATGGCTCCCACTTCGTTAATGAGCAAATTCTGCGGTTTCAAGTCTCTGTGGATGACTCTGTGCGAATGGCAGAAGCTCACACCCTGCAGCAGCTGGAAAAGGTAGTTCTAAGGAGAAAAGAGATTTCAGACAAGGCTACGATGAAGCTATTTGGAACGTTGGATCACGTGGACCTACATACTCTGGACCATTTACAGACCTGTATGGGAAATATGGTCTTGCTATAATGTAATACCAGGCTTACAAGCCATTACTCAGGGATAGCCACAGACTGCTCCACCTCTACACCAGGACAGAAGGACTCCAGTCCGAGCAGTGGCAGTTCCTTCCACCCATCTGTTACTCTGTGCAAAAGCAATTAGCAGTAGATCCCTCAGCTAGCCTCGTATCAGCAGTTTGCTCTGCAGTGAGACAGGCTGGGAGAGCCTGGAAACAGCTGGGAAACAAATGCACTGAGCAGTCGTGCCAAGAAGTTTTCCCAGATGCAATGTTTGGGATCTGAGAGGCTGAGTGCCTTCAGCCAAGGATGAATCTCCTTGTGATGCAGTCTGGCGAAGAGCAGCTCAGTGCTGGCTCTGCCCAGCAGAAGGCAGCAAGGACACACGCTTCCTCCCTCGCCTACAGGAGCTCCTTCCATCGAGTACCTTGACCAAGCTTAAAGGAAAGTCTCCAGTCTGGGATGAGTCCATGTACTTCTTCAGGTCCTGATTCAGGTACTCAAACACCAGGTACAGTTTCTTCTGGCTGTGCACGACATCCAGGAGCCTGCAAGGGAAAGGCAAACGCTTCCTCCGGTACCTTTGTGCAGGGAACCCAGGCTACGCCGGGATGCTACCGTCTCCTGCAGAGCAGCTGGGAAGACCTCCTTCTCCAGACCTTTGTCAACACCCAAACATCCCCCCGTCCTCCCGCAGGTACCTCTGCTCTGAGAGCGCTGTGGGGCAGAGCGGACGCTGCCCCAGCAGCCAGCGAGGCTTCGCCAGCCCGATCGGAGCCGAACCGGCGCCGGACCCCCTCTCTTACCTGACTATGTTGGGGTGCTTGAGCTCCTTCAGCAGCGAGATCTCGCGGATGGCGGTGCTGGGGACGCCCTCGGTCTCCCTGCGACAAAGCGGGCGGTACGGCACCCGGCCGGCGGGCGCCCCGGTGCGGGCTCCCTTGGCGGAGCGAGGGTTGAAGCGAAACCGGAGACGAGGGAGGGGCGGGCGGGGGAGACGC